CACACCCACACCCACACCCACACCCACACCCACACCCACCCACACCCCACCCAAGGTTAAGAGAACTAGTCAATGTGTCAAGTTAGCTGAGAAAATCTTCAGCATGTCCATTGAATGATTTTGGGTGGCAGCAAAAAACTTCAAGTTGCAGAGGAATTGGTGAGAGAGATCAAAAAGCTCAAGAATTCTACCATACGAAAGTATCAGCAAAAGATTCAGGCTTTTTAGGAATGCCTGTCGATGTGGTCAAAAACTTTACGATCACAGAAGAAGTTTTGAAAGGAAGAACAAAAAGCTCTAGAAGCTTGCCATGCCCCAACATACTCGTAAAAATCTTCTGGATATCGGTCAATCTCTTAGGGTCACAGCGAAGACTTTCAAACCGCAGAGAAATTCGCGTGAGGAGCAGCAAAAAGTTTCAGATAACCAATCAGTCTTATTGAGTGCTGGCGAAAAACTTTGAATAACAGCTAAATGTGTTAGCGCAACAGCAAAAAAAAGATTCGAGGAACTAATCAAGATGTCTGATTAGCTGCGATAATGTTCATTCTACACAGCAATGCCATCGGCTGACAGCAAAGTTTTTCGCATCACAAAAGAATTTCTGAGAGCAACGACATACAGCTTGTCAAGCTTACCTTTTGTATACGTAATAGAAAAACCTTCAGCATTCGCACAATATTTATGCTTGAGTGCAAAAACTGTTTCAATACACGGCAATGTTTTAGAGAGAATACAAAAATTTCAGGAAACCAATTGATGTGTTACATGCTGGAGAAAAGCTTCGCGGCAGTAACTTATATCTTTGGGAGATGAGAAATAGTTTTCGATCTCACAGACATTGATGAGAAGAAAAAGGGTGTGTGGGTGTGGGGTGTGAATGGGTGCGTGTGGTCAAATCTTCTATCAACTTATATTTCACTCACATTCACACCCACACCAACACCCACACTCACCCCACCCACATCCACATTCATCCCACCCACATCCACACGCACACTCACCCCACCAACACCCACACCCATACTCACCCGACCCACACCCACATCCACACGCACACTCACCCCACCAACACCCACACCCACACTCACCCGACCCACACTCACATCCCACCCACACCCACACCAACCACACCCTTTCTTGCGAAGGTATCTACATACAGCGAACTCCATACATTGACACCACAGTATTTCCATAAATGAAAGTAAAAAAAGTTGGAAAGAATAAGAAACGATAAAATGTGTCATTAGTTTATCTTATTCCTTTGGTAATTGATAACGCATACTTGTTCTTACGTTCTCTTCTTCTTTACAAACATAGTTTCAAAATAAGCTATGTAGAGTTCGTTCCCGAGTATCAACAAATAACAGACACATCTCGCGCAGTAGAAAAATCGAGCAAAGGTGAGCTATTATCTGTATGCACAGATAACATGAATTTGTTGTGTCTGAATAATAGTCATTTCTTCAAAGTTTCAGATTTATAATCAAGCAACTATTTATAATAATATGAGTAGTCGCAAACCAAGACGGATTATCTCCAGATCATCAAATGCTATCACAACAACAGCAGCTTCTTCAAATATTGGTTATCCTAAACAACGTATAGTCCAAAATTTTATACTAATTTGGGCTAATGCTAATATCGACGAGTCAAAACAACACTATCAGAACACATTGGCACAACTACGACGTGTTATCAATGATGTCAACATCTGCATTGAACCAGAACAATGTATTCACTATCTCAAGAGCATTAGCGAGGAAAAGGCTTTTATTATAACCTCTGATGCATTAGGTCAAAGTTTGGTTCCTGATATCCATCACTTAACACAGGTAGAAGCCATTTACATCCTCGATCGCAATAATGCTTTAAATGAGCAATGGGTAAGACAATGGAACAAAATCAAAGGAATGCATAGCGAAATAAAGCCACTTTGTGAAGCATTGCGATTGGCTACCAAAGAATGCAATGAAAATTCCATTGGCATTAGTTTAATATCAGCGGATGAAGAGGTTTCTAGTGAGAATCTGAATCGATTGGAGCCCACATTCATGTACACACAAATCTTCAAGGAAATACTTCTTGAGATGGAACATGACAAACAAGCCATCACGGACATGGCAACGTACTGCCGCGGTCTTTATCAAAACAACACGCGTGAATTAAATATTATTAATGAATTTGAACGTGATTACAATCCAAAAACTTCGATTTGGTGGTACACACGCGAGTGTTTTACCTATCAAATGCTCAATCGTGCACTTCGTAATTTAGAAGGTGACACAATAATTAACATGGGATTCTTCATTTGTGACCTATACCGACAAATTGAAAAATTACATAAAAAACAGGTCAGTACTTACAACGGGAACACATTTTTAGTTTACCGGGGACAGGGTCTTTCATCAGCTCATTTTGAAAAACTTCGAAAGACAAAATGTGGACTAATCTCTTTTAACAATTTCTTGTCCACCAGTACGAAACGAGAAGTTTCTTTTGAATTTGCCGAAAGTGCTTCAAAAAAAGACGATATGGTTGGCATCTTGTTTGTGATGACTATTGATCCTTTGGTTTCATCTGCTCCATTTGCCGCCATTCGAGATGTTAGTTACTTCAAAACAGAAGAAGAAATCTTGTTCTCCATGCACACGGTATTTCGTATTGGTGAAATTAAACAAATAGAAAGTAACAAAGCACTTTATCAAGTGGAACTTAAATTATCAGCTGATGATGATGAACAACTCCGTGCTCTCACTGAACGTATAAGAAAGGAGGCTGGAGGTCCGACAGGATGGAGACGACTGGGTAGATTACTGCTTAAGATAGGGCAGCTTAAAAAGGCGGAAGAACTATATATTGCGCTACTCGAACAGTCATCTAATGACGATGATAAAGCACATTATTATAATCAACTTGGACTTGTTAAATATGATCAAAGAGATTACAAGAAGGCTATTTGGTATCACGAAAAAGCAATTGAAGTCAAACAAAAATCTCTTGCTCCAGATGATCCTTTATTGGCTATTTCCTACAGTAATATTGGTGTAGCGTATGGCGAAATAGGAGACTATGCGAAAGCACTTTCATTTTACAAAAAAACACTTGAAATCGAAGAAAAAGCTCTTTCTCCAAATCATACTAATTTGGCTACTACCTACACCAATATCGGTGGAATATATTGCAACATGGGAGAATATTCGAAAGCACTTCCATTTTTTGAAAAAGACATGGACATCTGTGAAAAAACTCTTCCTCCAAATCATCCTGACTTGGCTACTCCTTACAACAACATCGGTTTTGTCTACAGAAATATACACGAGTATCGAAAGGCACTCTCATATCTTGAACGTGCTCAGGATATTTTAGAACGTTCATTACCTCCTAATCATCCTAAGATTATAAATGGACGAATAGGTATTGATGCTATAAAAAATTTGTAATCAGTCATAATATTTGATGAATAAAAGAATGTTTTTTCACTTATTTGTAAGATTGTAGTCTTAATCGCATGCATGCGGATAGAGAAAATCTCTGTAAGTAAAAAAATCTTAAATATAAACATAAAAAAAGAAAAAAATACTGGAAAAGTAAAAACAGTATTATCTTGAGAATGAAGAAGTAAATATATTTATACAAGTATAGAACAATTGCATCGTCTAATATGTTCAACATAAATTAATTAGGATCAATAAAAAAGAAAGTAAAAAAAACAAGTTAGTGTAATAATATTGATCATGTTACAATAACTTCTAATTTAGAACAACTGAAATATGATATCAATAATCTCGGGAATCAAAATAAGTGTCGCAGACAAACAAGTAATTAACAAACCATATAATAACACATTACAAAATTTTATTCTCGGAGCAGAATATTGAGAATATCGATGGGTGTGGGTGGCTAGGGGGCGGATGTGAGTGTGGGTGTGGGTGAGTGTAGATGTGAGTGTGGGTGTGGATATCTTCTCATCACACACAGCCACACCCACACCTTTTTAATGAATTGATCAAATGTAAAATAATATTGCGGATCAGATATAAACGTTGTTTCAAAAACAAGTTTTTTCACTCGGAAATTATCAAATTTAAAGTTGTGAAAAAAGTTGCGGGTGTGAGTGGATGTGGGCGTGGGTATGGTCCGTGGGTCTACCCTTACCTACATCCACCCACCACACTCACACCCACACACCCTTTAGCGCTTTCACTTCAAATATTATATGTGCAAAATCACTTGATTTTTATTAACTGTTATTTATATTCTACTGAGCATATGAAAAATTGCAGATTGATAACCTTTTTGTAGCAATGTTCCTCCATTCGACAGAATTTGTTGCATATCTTAGCTGACTTTCAGGAAATTCACAAAAACACATTCTGTTAGGATGTAATTTTATACAGATTCTATGGTGCACTGTAATCCAATCGGTTTCGGTCCTCGGAATTCATCGAGTTGAAACAGATCCGACAGAATCCGATGGTTGATCTTCGACTTGGGGCTAGTTTTTCGTTATTGGTACTCTTGGTTAATCATTGTTTCTAACTTCATCTAGACGTGGGTGGGTGTGGGTGTGGGTGTGGGTGTGGGTGTGGGCGTGGGTGTGGGTGTGGGTGTGGGTGTGGGTGTGGGTGTGGGTGTGGGGTGTGGGTGTGAGCTTACTGCGTATGAAGGCAATGCATACACCCACACCCACACCCACACCC